AATAGGAGGGAGCCACGGTGGTATGCATAGCTTGTGGTGGTGCGTCGGCATCGGTATGAATGTAGTAAAGACCGTTATGGAGTCGGCCACGTAGAAGCGGTCGAAGATCCTGGGAATCCTTAATTTCAAAGCCGTTAGAGTCAAAAGTTATAGAGATGGAATTGTCACGGGTTAGCTTAGAAACCGAAATCAGATTGTGGGTTAGAGAGGGAACATGCAAGATATTACGTAAATGTAGCTTACGAGGAGTATCGGGAAGCGGAAGAAGACCCTGTCCGGTGTTCTGAATGGAAGCAGAGGAACCATTTGCTACTGAAACAGACGATGAGCCATGGTAGGCGGTCGATTGCTGAATGTTGTTGTTGTCTGGTGTGAGGTGTTCTGATGCACCGGTATCTAGAACCCAATTTTGGGTTGGGTAGGAAGCAGTGTTGGAAAGCATAGCACAGGGTGTGGTGGCTGTTGTAGGAGCGTATTTGAAGTTGCAGCGGTGCCAACAGTTAAGAGCGATGTGACCATTCTTCCCGCAGATTTGGCAGTTGAGGCGTTGCGAACTCGAGTTGTTGGCTGAAGTCGGAGGAGGATTGGGTGCAGATGGTGGGTACAGGTTGTTCTTGAAGTTCTTGGGCGGGCGACGGTTTGTCCGACCGCGTTATTGGTTGTGCGAAGTCGCGTAGAGAGCGGACGGATCGGTGGAATTATTGTGGTGATGTTCTTGATTGATGTAGATTTCTTCGTTGCAAAGTAGCGAATATAGCGAATCTAGATCGGATGGTGTCTGGGAGTTCCGGATGAAGGTTTTGAAGGGGTTGTAAGCAGCAGGTAGACCGTTAAGAGTGTAGAGCATGATGTCTTCGGGATCGACTTTGGAGCCGGAGGCGGCAATGCTGTCGACGCGAGTCTTGACTTGCGTGAGATATTGTTGCATGGATGAATTCTTCATTTGTAGATTGTGAAGTTTGTTCTTGAGTTGAAGAACTCGAGAGCGACAAGTCGATTGAAGCCTTCGTTCAAGAATCGACCAAACTTCGAAGGCGGAGGTTGTGGTGATGACATATGGCAGGATGGAGGGGGAGATGGTAGAGAAAAGGGCCGAAATCAGCGTGCTGTCAATTAGTTTCCAGGCGGCGTGCGCTGCGGGTTGATCGGCCGGTGGGGAAGGGTTGTCTCCGGTGAGATAGCTCAGGTAGCCTGTAGCCGTGAACTGCTGGAGAATTTGGGTTCTCCATATGGGGTAATTTTCGGTGGTGAGAGGATGAGGAAGCAAATTCTTGATGTTGGTGACAAGAAATTTCAGGGATGCCGGAATGACTGGTTCGTTGGGGCAGTTTCCGGCGAGGGCGGTGGAGGAGGGAGGGAGAGAGGAGGCTGAATCTTGATCTCCCATCAAGTAGCTCTTGATACCATGTAGGAAGAAAGGAAAGAACAGGAAAAGCGAAGGAAACAGTAAAGAATATGTGTATATTATTATTAATTAAGCAGAGATATAGTTGTCCTTATATAGGCTAAAGAGAGGGAAAATAGTAAATACAAGCGGAGCACAATAAGATAACTTGTACATGCTAATATTAATTACTTTTCAATTATATGAAACTAAAATACTTTTTTTTTTTGTGAATGGGGATTGAGTGTGAAAGCTTAGAATATACTCATGAAAGATGGATTAAAAAATGCACAAGCATAACAAAATGCAAAATCAGAAAATATAATCTTGTTAAAAAAACAAGACAAAAAAGTTCAAGGGCTCTAAGAGGGTCTAAAATTAGCAGTTCAAGGCAAGATAGGGCTGCAAACGAACCGAGTCTAGCTGAGTATGTGAGTGTTCATGTTTGAGTTCATTTATTATCAACTCGTTCAAGTTTGGATCGTGTTTGATTCGAGCTTTATAGTTTGTGTTCATGTTTGGTTCGTTTAAATCAATAATGTTCATGTTTGGTTCATGATCAGTTCATGTTAGATTCGTTTAGTGCTCATCGAGTTTTAAACAAACAAGCCTTAACGAGCTATAAAAGAGCTCTACTTCTAGATATTGATTAACTTAACAAATGAGCTTTATCGAGCCTCCTAACAAACAATTATATCGAGCATGTTCATGAACATATTTAGCGATTTTTATTAAACTAGGGCAAAATGGCAAGGAAAAAATGACGAGGGAAGGGTTCAGTGTTTTTAATTGAGTTCTTATCGAGCTTATTCACGAGTTCTGAATCGAACACGAATCGAGCTTAATGTCGATTTTGTTCACGAGCTTTAAATGATGCTGTTCACGAACATAAATGAGCTGAACACATTAGTGTTCAAACTTGTTTATTTAAGAATCGAGTATTTAAAATATTATTCAAGTTTATTTTTTTAGTTAATTAAACGATCACAAAAAAGTTTTAACTGAACCGCACAGTGAGTAGCTCGTCGAACGTTTGGTTCCTTGCATCCCTAAGGAAAGACTCAAATCAGGAATCAATTATAAATATGGATGATTGTACCGTGATAAAATTGAAAGAAAGAGAAGATCTAAGCCCATGGCTACCGACCAATAATTGGGACACAACAAAATCGTCTAATCATTATAGTCCAAATTTCAAAAGTGTTAAAAACCTAGGAAAGTCACGAGAAAAACCAAATGGGTGACTAGAATGATTGAAACGAGCCACCAAAAAACTAGATAATAATTTTAGTCCCTCCAACCTTAATTGCAATTCCATCTTTTTATCTTAGCACTCACATCTCTTTTGATATTAATGAAAGCAATATAAATAATCGTAATTTTTCTCCCAAAATTTATGCTATTTTTTCTCTCCAAATTTGGTAGATAATGCAATGATAATAAATAAAATAGAAATTCTTCTAGCCTTTAGAGATACTATTTAAAACATAATTATGCTCCATGTTCTAAAGAAAAGATAGATGATTACAATCTTCCATTAGAATTCCTTCAAATTTTAAATTAAATTACAATTTAAAAAAATATAATTGTGGATTTCTAGAAAAAAGGGGACTTATTCCTAATAGAAGAAGACAGAAAAAAATCTTGGAAATACCAATTAATTCAAATGGAATAAATGATATTAAAATATATGCTTTGATTAAGAAAACAAAGAGAGAAGGGAAGTTGGCCCCTAACATCCTACTAATGAGATAGTCTTGATTGTTACAACGTAGATACTTTGATTGTTAAAGTTAAACTACTCAAAATGGCTTAAAAATCTTATAGGGATAAAAAAAGTTGCCAAACAAAATATGCAATTCTAGACCACCACCTAAGTGAGTATTTAAATCAGTAGCCATTTATGTAATAAACTCTGATTTTCTTTCTTGAACTGAACCAGTCTTCTCCACTTCCATAAGGCAATACCATGCCTTATAAGCCTCGAATTGAGCTTAGGGCTTGATTAGAGAGCTGGTGGTTGGAGGATAAGACAAATGCGCACAAAAGTGAGGAGCGAGAGAATCATCCAAGCAAGAGCAAGTGGATGAAAGAACTTGTGTGGGGATATCATCTCGAGCATGCGGGGTTTGCCAAAGGGCAATAGTAAGCTCAATCGTGGTTTATTGGACATATAATCAGGGAGAATCTCATTGGATATGCCCCTTGTTTGAATCCAAAAATGACTATTACAAGTATGAAAAGGAGCTACATAAGGCAATGCGAGAGCATGTCATCACCTATGTAAGAGTGTAAGGCAATGCGAGAGCATGTCATCACCTATATAAGAGGGTCTATTAAAACATCATTTCAAAAGTTATTATCATGTATAAAAATGCTTAATATGAAGCATCCTGGGATAGTTGTTGATCGTTAGCTTAACACTTTACTACACTTGAGGTATATCTATTTCTCATTTGGTCTATGGATTTAAAGTTGGAAGTAACACAATATTTAGTGCGGATGTAACATTTCTATAAACACATTATAGAGGCACTATTTTCATAACAGGGGCTCAAGAAGCTAATACTTAGATTTTTTAAGTGATTTTTGTAGTTGTTGACTTAGAATATTATGGTGTGTGTATATATTTCATGATTAGATCGAGGAAGCCAAAAGACAATGAAAACTTTAGTGTCTCTGTTAGGCATAATAGTATCATCGTTACTTTATCTATATTATTTCTAGAGGCACACCATGAACCTAACACTCATCATATTATAGAGTTGTATGTATGCAAATCTCCCTATAATAAATATCAGAGTGATGTTTAAAAATGATAGTAATCCTAAAAAGCATAACTTCAAAATCTTACAAAAGAGTTAGATTTTATAAGCACTTCGATAAAATATGGGTCAATAACCCAACTATATACATATATCTAAAGAATTAAGTTGGCTTAAGAGGCGGGCTCATGCTTTCTTCTCTGAGAATAAATACAACTTGATAAAAATCAATATTATATAGAGATTTAATAATAGTATTAAGAGTGCATGCATTTATCTAGTGACAATTTTGTTAGAATTTTTAAGAATAAAATACATAAATGAATCTTTAACGAATGCACTATTGGACTAAATGATAAAATTATTTTAAAAAAGGAAATTGAAAAAAAAAATACAAGGGAGCACTTGAATAAAGCTTACAATTTAATTGTCTATCCCATTAATAAATTTGAACTACATACCCTTAATGGGGATCTTAACAATGGAAGTTGAAAATTAGTATTAGTTAATTAAAATTTTATTATCTTAAACTTATTGTAATATTTTTTACTTTTGATTTAATTTATCTATAAGTTCTTATTTAATATTTTTATAATAAATTACTAATTAATTATTAATTAATATATTTAGTTAGATTAATTATAAATTGATTAGTTTAATATAAATATAACAAATATAATAAGATGTCCCAACCATATAAATCTTTAAATATTAAAATAAATGATCAAATAATTTATTTAAATTAAATTAAATTTAATAATTATCATACCAAATAATTCTCAAGATTATTAAACCCATTAAATTTAACATTAGATCCTAATTTAATTAAAGTTTTATTTAAGTTCAATCCTACTAACAGCCCCTCGGCAACTACACTGCCAGTCTCCCGAGATGAAACCGTTCCTTGTTCTGCTCATCTTACTCGTCACTGCGGCGGAATCGGCCTCCATTCCGCATGTTCGGCGATTCCTTGGCCACTTCGCCGGATCCAGGCTCCGAAACAATGCCGGCGCTGCCCTTAACGCCGCCCAATACGAGACGCGCTTCTTCCGTCAGCGATTGGACCACTTCAGCTTTGCCGAGCTGCCGGACTTCAACCAGAGATACCTTGTCGGGAACACCGCCGGCCTATGGTCCCCGCCGGCCCCCATCTTCTTCTATTGCGGCAACGAGGGCGATATCGAGTGGTTCTCTGAAAACACTGGCTTTGTTTGGGAGATCGCCCCTAGCTTCTCCGCCCTCGTTGTCTTTGCTGAGGTTTTTTCCTCTCCGCTTCTAATTTCGTTATCCTTTAGGCGTTTATAGTTTTTTTAAGGGTATAGTTTTATGGCTATTTTTTCCATTTATATTTGATTTGTTACAAAAATTCGTTGCGATCGTTTAAAGTTGAAGCATCGTAAAGATGTTGAAAATTATGACCCAAATAATGAATTCTGGTGGACTGATGTAGGGAGGATCCAATAGAAGAATGAGATGCAAGAAGAGATACACAAAACCAGGGAACTAACAAGCTCAAGGCTCAAAATATCAACATATTCTTCATATCTTCTTCCTACTACAATAGTTAGATATATAACCTAGTAATAGAATATTCTAGAGCTTTCTAGAAAACTGGTACAAAATAGATAAACTATTCCTAAGGTATGCTACAACTAAGATATTCAACATCATACTCGGCTTGCATCAGAAGAGCTCGACTCCATGGAGATGCTCATTGAGAGGGAGGTAGACATCAAATCAGTCCTCTCTCAAAAATTTTGAATGCAGACAAAAGATTTTTCCACATATCTCCGTCTGCTTCCACAATCATGGATTTGATCAGGGATTCAACATCAACAAGTTGATTTGCCCGACCAATGCAAATGCAATGCTTCAATGATTTCTTCAATAACTTCATTGTTTCCTCAACTATACCAAATTGAGCAAATCCACCAATAGGGAAGTCCACGAAATAGATATCTCGACTTTCAAATCATGATCTCCATTAGAACTACTTGATTTACGATTGGTTGATCCTATATGTAATGAAGTTTGCAGCTGGATCCTTCTAAATGCCTTACCATGAGCTGCCATGCCCTGACGTCCCACTTGATTTGGATTTGCTGAAGTCCTAGATCTTTAGAAAGATCCGCAACTCTAAATAGAGTCTCTCTTGCATCACTACTCCGAAACACTTTTCCATTAAAGGAATTCATGGATTGAAGTTCATCTGCAGTAGAGTTTTTGGGATAGTGGGCATCAACACTTTCCATGAAAACATCAAATTGAGGTCATAATACATTGTATGAGTAAGGCAAGGCGTAGGAGGCATAAAATAACTTGATGGGCTTATTGGCCCACTCAATTGGCAAGAAGCTACCAAACTAGGGGCATCCTATGGCAGTAGCACTTCAACATTCGTATTATTCCAAATTATACTGTCAATGCTAGATGTATTATCCAAGGGACTTTCTTGTTTAATAGGGTAAACTTGAGTAGATGGCACAACTTCCATAGTATTTCCTAGACATTTGTTAAATTCATCCGGACTTTCTTCATCAGAAACAAGTATGGCATCTAAGAATTTAGCAATAAACTCACTGCCATCATCTTCATCATTTAAGGATGCATCAACGACATTATCATCAAAATGTAGGTAACTCATGTCTGAAGGAGAATTGTGGTAAAATATATCAGAATCATTATACTCGTATCCAAGATTTAAGCTGCTTAAATTGCTTGGATGAGGGTCTTCCTTCAACTTATCTATCTATCTATCAATATATATATATATATATATATATATATATATATATGTAGTGATATCACTTTAGCTATTCATTTCCTCCGATTCTTTCATCGACTCATCAACTACTTCAGGCCTATTGTGGGTACAATTTCCTGATGCAGTGGGGTAAATTCATCCAAAGCATCATCACCCTGCATTGTGGTATATAGAGAGGATCTGATTATGGCAGGAGAAAAGATGCTGCCATCGTTTTTGTCAGCATTGGAAATTAAAATCCTCTCTTCAAGCTTTTTAAACAATTGATGAAGTACGAAACCACATCCTGATCGAATTTCGGTTCCACAGTGCGATACTCGTGCATAATCCAACTGGTGCGCTCCCCCTTTGGGGCGGGGCCGTGGTAGAGGCGGACGCCATGACCAGTGCGGATGAGGACGTGGTGAAGGGACCACCATTTGTGGCCAATACGCAGGGTGCGATGTGTGGGCCAGTTTGGGAGCGAATGCTCGCGCGTTTGTGAATGTGCAGGGGAGGCCGGACGGATGTGGGAGTGGGGTCCTAAGGTGGGCGCTGTGTCTCATGTGTGGTTCCACAAGGAGTGGTGGCTTGGAAGGGTTGGTGGAATGCACAGAGGTTCATAGACAAGATTGGGAGCGTGTATCTAGTTGCGAGAGGAAGCGGAGGTGGAACCATGCGATCTCGAGCTGGAGCGGAACGGGCTCGAGACGGAACGCTTGCGAGAGGCGGGAGCGGGGGAGGGAAGTTCAGGTAAACTCAGATGGAAAGCTCATGGGAGAGGCACGGGCGGCGAAGGTGCGGTGGGTCGCTTGTTGGAGATGGTATTGTATGCAAAGACGAGGCCGGTTGCGCTAGAGGAGCAGAGGAACGACGGTGTCGGTATGGTTGTCGACGTACGTATTCTCTCTACAAAACGAGTGAAATTAGAGAAGAAATCCTCTAATCGATCAAGTGATGCATTCACTTGAGCTGTCCAAAAGGATTCATGGCTTCGATCATCATCGATAACCCATCTTCTTCGTCGTTGACAACCCATCTTCTTTAGCTTCGATCGTCGTCGACAACCCATCTTCTTTTGCAGTCCATCTTCTTCATGGCTTTGATACCAAATTGATGTAGAGAGGATCCTATAGAAGAAGGAGATGCAAGAAGAGATACAGAAAATCAGGGAACTAACAAGCTGAAGGCTCAAAATATCATCATATTCTTCATATCTTCTTCCTACTGCAATAGTTAGATATATAACTTAGTAATAGAATATTCTAAAGCTTTCTAGAAAACTGGTACAAAGTAGTTAGACTATTCATAAGGTATGCTATAACTAAGATGTTCCACGTGATGGATGAACATGGTGCTCCTGAATACCAACTTTTAACTTTTTAGTAGAATGTTTGATTATGTATGAAAATTGCATGATTGATTGAAGATATGACCATGCGGACTTATGCGTTGAAATTTGATGGGAGATTGTCACAAATAAGCTTTTATTTGCTAACTGGACTCACTGTGATGATTTGATTACTTGTGGCCGATTTTGAATAACATGCGATGAATAAAATGCCTCTTGTAAACTTGTCTTTAGCAGTAAAGTAGAGGATGCAACATCATTTTAATTGCCTGATTTTGCTTAATGGTCACTTATGCCATTTAGGTCGATTCTTTGCCACATTTAGTTGGAGAATTCTGAATAAACTTCAGGTTGGGAAATACTAAATTTGAGAAACTCTAACAGACGGAAAGTTCTTTGTATTTTCCTATTTAGGATTGTGCATGATACTTGCTAGTTTCTTTTCAAAATTAAAAATTTCAAATAAATTATTTAATCCTCTAACACTTTCATCATATCTTGGCTGGTAGCACCGCTATTATGGGCTGTCAATGCCCTTCGGCAGCAAAGAGGAAGCATACAAGGATGCCAAGTCCTTATCATACCTTACGACTGAGCAAGCAATTGCAGATTTTGCTACATTGATCACTGATTTGAAGCGAAATATGTCAGCTGAAGACAGCCCAGTTGTTCTGTTTGGTGGCTCCTATGGTGGAAGTAAGATGTTTGCAGTACTACGTTTGATCTAACATTATTAGTGCAGGGCAAAGGAATCTTAAAGAAAGTAACGAAGTATAATTACCTTTTTCACACTTTATTCAACATAAAATATAAAATTTGCATATTCTTAAATTAACTCTGACAAATCTAGAAGAATTCTTTTCTTAATAATGAAAAATGGAACATCAGAATTAGTTTTACACGACATTTTAGATATCAATCTAGCCTTTAATCTAATCGGTTTGGGTTGAAGGATGACCTATGCTGTTGAATTGATGTTTTATTTATAATTTTATGAAGACAGTTTAATTGCTAGAATCATACTTTCTTCCAAATTCATCACCACGTAGCATGTATTCCAATGTTGATGTGGGTCTCCGAAAGGTTGCTGCTTGCGAGGATCAGAATGCAAATGATACGATCACATTATCTCATAGGACAAAGTGGTTGTAGGCCTTTACACTCTACGCAAGCAGGTCAATAGAAGAATAGATGTAGTCATACATATCATGGTTTAAAATTGCGCAATATGAGGCCCGCCTTAAGGCCCGCCTTTGCGCAATTCCAGTAAAAAAAGCCTCGATGCTTAAGCATCGAGTTTTTTTTAAGAGGCTTGCGTCTCAACTTGGTTGAGGCCCACCTCGCCTCGTTGGCCTGAGGCTTACGCCTCATGCTATATATATTAAATCTTGAAGTAAATGCCTGACATTGGACTCTTTAGGAGAGGAGGAAGGGGAGAAAGCAGTTCACCATAATGATGATTCAAATGAAGAACCCCTTAGTGATGACAGTGCTGATGACTTTTGAGTTCTTATGCGATATGTCATTGCTATTTATTTTTGGAAATTAGAATTATATGTTAATGAAAAGAATACTGGGATTTGGGAAAGATAGAATTTTGAGTTGAACTATATTTCATGTTGTCTTATTATTGAGATATTTTGATTTAACTTCATATCTTATGTTTTTTTATGTTTTATATTATTCACTCATTAGTATATAAAAAATTTATCATTTTATGTTTACGCAATCTTTTGATTTTGAGGCTTACACCTCAAAACGCCTTGAGGCTTACGCCTCGCCTCACGAATGAAAAACGCCTCAATACCCGAATACGCAATTTTAAACATTGATACATATGATTAATCATGGAGGATAGTGACTTTCACCTACACACCTCAATGGGTAATAATATATATGACCAAAAAATCATGAGATTTTTTTCATTCGATACGTCATCTCAAATGGGATTTATTTGATGTGGGTGTCAGTTTCTCACAGGTGTAAGCCCTCGTGGTTAATTACATCTTAGGCGTTGACCTAAGAAAACTCTTGATTATGAATGTTATATTATTTTCTTCTTAGTTTTGTGCATAGAGTGGGTTCCTATATTCTATTTCGAAGAGGATAAATTATTTTCTTTATATTTAGTGATGATTAGACCTTTTTAAATGTATAAAATGTGATTAAAATTTTGAGTTTAGAAGATCAAAGATTTAAGTTGCTAATTTAGGAGCAATGGCAATTAAGAATTTATTAGAAATTATGATAGACACCGAGGGAACTTATAACTTAAAACTCCACTAGGGATCTAAGCAGCCCTGACTTGGATTTACTACCTTGCTTGAAAAGGGTACCAACTAAACTCCACCTATCATATTAAATCCATGATATTTAGCCTTATGCAAATACAAGAGTGGTGGGAGGCACCAAAAAAAAAAGAAGCGGGCATTAAGGCCGACCATGAATGGTACTATGCTTTATGCAAAATTAACTATCCCTCTATGTTTTAAAAGTAAATTTATATGATTGACTCAAGGTTATGCATGTTTAGGTAGGACCAATCAGGATTGGTCAGTAGTCATTGTAAAGTGAACAAGATTTATAACATTAATCATCATTTAAAAGGTAACCTGCAAAAGGGGTCATGCATTAATTTTTTTGAAAAGTTGATTGATTTTAAATCCTATATTTATTTTATCTTGTCTAAATAATTTTAACTTTATAGAAAATTTAACATTCTAAGAGCCTAATGCTAATTCCGTCCGAGCCACACCCAAACAAAGCAATTTAAGAAATTTAGGAAAAGGCATATTGTTCTATTGCACAATCAATGTAAACAAATAATAATTAATATCCATTAATGCATCTGGGTTCTGCAATACACCCTAGGAAAGTAAAAAAAGGTAGTTGAGCTCTACCATATATACGACTCAGCCTAAATCTATACACAAATTAATTGGTGTATGTATTCTTGATCGATCTCCAAAACTTGGCTTCTTGCCTTTTGAAAATCCCATACACCTATATGGCTTTCCTAACTAAAATTATATTTAAAAAATGTAAAATTACATAAACGCCCTACAAAAAATAATTTCAGCACAATTATAATAAATAAGCACACATCATCCATAACCTAGTCCTTAGGGCCACATTCCTAAGGACTTAGCATTCCTCGCAGCACCTGTTAAAGAGCACATTTATAATAATTATGATAATATTTTTTATTGCCCTTTGGGAACATGACCACCTGCATAAGATATTTCTATAAAATCTTACCACTTAAGGAAAAATGCCCACTCATCAATCAATAAAAAAAAGAAAGGCAACCATAAAATAATTCAAACCAAAAAATACATCACTACATCAGCACATATGCTAAACGAAAGAAAAAAACTGTAAAATGTTATCCTAGTTACATTTTATCCTAGGATGCCTATAAAAAGGTGTCATATCTAGCATTTAAGTGTGTACAAAAAAGTGTATATAGCTACCCCAAATTAGGTGAGAAGTTGTTTCAAGATCAAATTTCAAGATCAAGTTTTTATTGTTTAATTTATTAACCCTCAAATTTCTCTATAAGTGTTTAGCCATTTTGGGTGAATTTATTAACAGTTAATTTTAAGATTAAAATTTTAATTATTAAATTATTAAGAGGCCAAAGGCTTAGGCCATAACCTATACTAAGATTATAAAGAATTGAGTGGCAATTGACCTATCCTCAATCAAGGCCAAAATAATTGTAAGGTGGCAAGGTCGGTTAATCCTCCCTTGGTAATCTAAGATTCGAGATAAGACTGATATGTGACACCTCTAAGATGAGCCTATTGCCCACTATAAAAAGAAAATTCTAAGCTTCCTATTTCTAAGGTAAACTTATTTTTAAAGGCTGACATGAGAATATAAGGATTCCCTATCTATAAATGTGTATATGTTTACTTGACCTATGGTTAACAGTTGAATGGTTAAGAAAATTTGCTTAGGTTCCTAAGGGTGGCTTTAAATTTTAAAAGGGACAATTTATGTATATCTTTAAATGTTTATCCTCTAAAGCATAAGGTACGTGGCGTTGTCACAATGGGCACGATGACGAGGCCTCCTTAGGACACTTAGCCCCGCAACTCGAGGTAATCCAACCTATATACCTTATGTATATTAAGGGAAAACATACAAAGATAGACTTAAACCCGACATAAGTTAAGGCACTAAGATATGATTCGAAGTTCATTTGCTCCTTTAATAAGTTCATTTGTTTTTTTAAAGTTAATGTATTTTAGTTTAAATTTAAGTTTTAGTATCTTAGTGTTTTGTTAAACATTGGAGAGTTGGTTGAGAGAATTTTAATAATTTTTATTTATCTTCATCTTAGTTAATGTATATTATTATTTATGATTAGATTAGGAGTTGATAGGAGGTGTATTTTATATATTTTAAGATTTCACTTGATTAATTAATGTTTGTTAAAGTTATAGGTTGGTTAAAAAAAAAATTTAGGGGTTGTAAGTTAATTAAAGAATTTAAGAAGTTTTAGATTGATTAAAGAGTTTTAGGAGTCATATAGACTTATATGAATTCAATTAGAGATTTGTAAATCTGTTATATTTTATGAGTCATTTTTAATTATTAGAGTTTTAATTTTAATATAAACTTCTTATATTCTCGAATTGATTAGGATACATGTTGCAAGATTTAGTTTGTTGATGGTTTATTACTAATTATTTAGGTTATGCAATGACTACCATTGTTAAACCAGGGTCATAAAGTTTATTTCATCTTCTTTGGGGCTAAGTTAAAAACCTCATAGGCCCGGATTACCAGGTAATCATCTTTGTTATTATTAAGTTTATTTTTGTTGCTTAGTGATTTTGTAGTGGATGATTATTATTATAATTGGTTCATTATGAATTAAGATTAGCTATGAGTTTATTAGTGTATTTTATTAGTTGGTTTTATAGCTTTTAAATATTCTTCATATTATTTGGATCAAATGACCTTCACAGGAAAATGAGGTGCTATATTAAGGAAAAAATAAGAAAATCTACAAAAATTAATTATAAGAAAATCTCATATACAATACTAGTTTATAGATCTACCTAAACATGCTAGTGCTCGTATTTATTCCATTTATCATATATAAACATACTTATGAAAGATACATTTGGAGGCTAAAATCATTAAGAAGAAAATTTTTAGAGTTATTTGCATATTTTTAGATCCCAAGAAAAAAAACATTCTAACGGCGCCCATATCGTATGGGAAAAGCGATGCATATGACTCAAATAGGTGGCATACACTACATACCTAAAATCACCCTAAGGGTCTCTAGGTTTCATGGCAAGAGGGGCAAGCTTTGGTCCACAAGGCTAAAGCTTCGTCAGTGCACTAACTTATGGGTGAGAAATTAAAAGCAGTCAACAATGTGTGTGCTAAAGTGTTTTTTGTTCGTCATGCATTGAGAGATCTATACATGACTATCAAGGTATACTTGACCATGATGTGTTCACCTAAAAGCCTCCAAACAAACGACCCACCAACTCATACATGCAGGATACAAGTACCTCGCAAGACAAAGAAAAAAGAGAAATATATAGGTATGTGTAGATGCCATTCAAAAAGGAAACATAACTAGACAAGACTTTAATTAATAAGCAATTTAACATTGTGTATTTATCAAATATGTGCATGTCACCACGAGGGTACAAGATAATGTGAGAGTTTTCTAATATGGGAGAGAAGAATTGACATTGAATAACACTCTACATACAACATATAAAATTTATTGATATAACATAAAGATTTGCTACCATAATCATACATTAAATATTTGAAAATTTATTTACATAGAAAATAAGAATAGATTATGTGTGAATTATGTGAAATTCTGCTAATACAAATATATATCTACACATGAAGTATATGAGCTGCTTATCGTTACAAAACATAAGGGAGAAATCATACATGAAACATATGAAAGCTCACTAATTCGAATACAAATTCCAGTATAACACCGTAACAGTTTTATTATTATTATTATTTTTGTTCGAGTTCATGGAACTTTCTAATATGAACCATACCACTTCTTAATGAACCAACATGTACTCATAATTGAGGCATATAACGAGTGTGGTTGCTCGAGGTGGTTACGAGCTTCTATGTCTATATGATTCCAAAAATACATGGGGGACTCTCCCAACGATTTCTATACGACTTACTATTTAAAATTTAGCATGTGAACACTAAAGCAACATAACCAAATACATTTTTGTTCACAAATATTAAGGGTATGAATGTATATAACACGTTATAAAATCACATAAACGATGATTTAAATTTCTTACATTCTAATATGCAATCATCAATAACAAAACTAGAGCCTTACCAATAATGAGAGCATTTATCCAATAATGAATTCTAATCATTCTCTAAATTAGTTGCATATACATTGGATGTCCTTCACACGACGTTCATATATGACCATATATACAAACAAACGAATACATAAAGTGGTTGTACATATGCGAGCCAAGTTAGACACTACGAATGAGACATGGGAATAATCATATAAGACTTGCATTTTTTTCAAACATAAGCAAAGCGCTTTCACATTGAACTTATGTATGCTTTTAATTGAAACATAGAAGTAGATAGATTTATCAAACATTGCTATTAAACCTTACAGCATATACCAAACGCATATAGGAAATCCTTTGATATATTCAGAAGATCTATTTGATGTCTAATATATACATAACGTTGAAATTCGACTTTACAATGTAAACATTTATATGTATTATTTTTCTTAGGAGTTGATGTGACATGTCAAGGGATATTTAACATTAATATAATGAAGCAACCATAAAGATATGATTCATCAACCATAAGGCAATTGCCACCTACAAACTTTTCATATACATATTCTCTATTTTAATAAGCATATACATTTTCTATCGAATATATAACATGATGCAATATATATATATGAAGATTCGTCAAAGTGACAAGTCTTGCTTTCGCAATCAAGATATGTATATGATCTTCCAAACAAATTCATGTGACCGGCGTGAACGTAAACAAGTGAAGTATAGGCATACTTTATTTACATTTTTTAACATTGATACATTAGTAGTTGGGTCTATAATTAATCATTAAACAATAAATCATTACTTTAAAAAAAGGGGTATTAAACCTATCAGATCAATTGTGAAAAGTAAAGATTAAATATGTTGTTTAACTAATGATTGATTACCGAAAGAGTAATATATTCTAGTTAGTAATGTATCAATTACTCAATTAATTAATTAGTATAATAGAATATCCACTAATTGATGATTATATTATTAAACTTGTTCGGTTCACAACTTATGAATCATAAGGCTGATAAGCAATTAATTAAGGGGATAATAAAATATACAAATTAGTTTTGGATGTAACTAATCAATGATTTATTATTTGAATTAATTTTATACGAATATACAATTTTTTTTTTTTTAATTTAAATAGTTCACATGAATAACAATTTTCAGCTTTCATAGTAATCGATCCAATAGTTTTCATCAATTTTAATTAAAGTTGAGGAACAACCCGATACAAGCAACATAATTCAAAGGATGAAGTAAAACTGTCAAAAAGAGATACAATTTTCATATACAATATATGTTTTATTTTGCTTTTCTTGATGGTTGGAGTTTTATGCGTTTGTTTCTTCTTTTATTTTATATAAACAATGACAGAATAGGAGAAGAGAGATTTAGGTGATAAAACATAAGAAATTTAATACTAGAGAGATAAAAGAAGAGTGAGAAAATATTTGAGTGCAAATATTGTAATCTTTTTGCATTTTTGAATTTGTGGAATATCTCTTTATGTGCAAGAGTGATGTTGGAGAACATTGTGTTAGACCGTTCCACGTGGGACCGGCTCAGGTGGAATAGGCAGAAGAGTTCCGCCTCTTCCTGTATGGGCGACCGAGCCGCCAAAGCCAACGGAGCGATTTAGGAAGGATTTATGGGGGATTTAGGAGGGAAATTTGAATGTAGAGATTGTTTAGAGATTTCTTTTTGGATTGTATGCATTAAATAGTTTATTTTCTTAGGGGTTAGGGCATCTTGAATTTGGCTGGAATTTGAGATCTCTTGGGTTTTCTTTGGGCTCTTGCGGTGTCTAGAGATTGGGAGAGATCGATCCTCCTCTCGAATAGAGGATCAATTGTATCTTGGTATTTTCCGTTTCCTTTTCATCAAATAATACAAATTATCTACTGTTTTCATGGTTTTGTGTGGACTTTTTGGAGAAATCTCATTGTTTTTCGAAGATTGATAGGAAATACTTGAGATCTACAAGTGTTTCCTATCACGTTTCCTATCACGTTGCTGAAACACAAATTATTCTCTTGTTTTATGATATTATTATTTTCTAGCTGTTGTTTTTTTTGTTCTCATTCGTCCCTTGTTCATCCCTTTTTCCCAACACCAAGCAATTTCATGGACATTTGCATATAGCACCTTTTTCATATTCTTGTAATAAAACTCATTAATGCTTCATTTCTTTGTGTTCGAAACTAGTTTACACTGTAATTGCTTGTCGAATCAGTGTTGGCTGCATGGATGAGGCTTAAATATCCGCATATTGCTATCGGTGCACTTGCTTCTTCAGCACCCATTCTGCAATTTGAAAATATCAGCCCACCGGAGTCATTCTATGACATTGTTTCCAGTGATTTCAAGGTTTGAACATTCATACTTAAGCTATAATATATTAGTATTTTGATACGTTAATTGCCAATCTGCTATGTTTCAGCGTGAAAGTATGAATTGCTTTGATGTTATTAAAAACTCTTGGGATGTTTTGGAAGCTCAAGGGAAATATGGTGATGGCCTTATCAGTCTAAGTGGAAAATTTAGGCTATGCAAGTAAGGTCTTCTTCGTTTCCTTCAACATATTCCCCTCTTTTCACCTGTTTGTTACTTTTTCTGTTGAATGACAGGGATCTTAACAACACCGAACAACTTTCAGACTGGTTAGACTCTGCATATAGCTATCTTGCGATGGTGGATTATCCATACGCCTCCAGCTTTCTTATGCCTTTGCCAGCCAACCCCATTAAAGAGGTTGATTTTTCTTGTAATTTAAATTACTGCTTAGTGTTTAAACTGGATTCATGCCGGATAGGTCTATCATGAAAGCTATTCATTTATTAAGAAGTTTGATGGAGAAGCATAGAAAAAATAAGGAGGATCTACCTATGATATTTATTGATTTAAAGAAAGCTTATGATAAAGTTCCAAGAGAAGTGTTTTGCAGAGTTCCAGAAAAGGAAAGGTGTTAATAATGCTTATATTCAAGTTATTAAGGATATGTATGCAGGGGCTAATACTTGTGTTCAAACACAAAGGTGGTTTGACCTAGTATTTTCCTATTTCAGTTAGATTAGATCAAGAATTAGCTTTAAGCCCATATCTTCTTGCTTTAGTTATGGATGTTCTTATTAGATATTTGCAAGAGCATGTACCTTGGTGTATGCTTTTTACTGATGATATTCTTCTTGTTGATAAGACAACTAGATAAGGCTAGAGAAGGGGTTGAAAGTAAATTTGAATTATGGAGGTCAACCTTATAGTCTAAAGATTTTCGTTTTAGTGGATCTAAAACCAAATACATGGAGTGTTTATTTTATAGTAATAGATCTAGTAGGGGGATTTTGACATTGGATGATCAAGTCATTAATAAGAGTACACATTTTAGATAATCTCGGTCTATTGTTCAAAGTGATGGTGAAATAGATGGAGATATTATTAGTAGAATTCAAGTTGGATGGTTGAACTGGAGGAATGCATTGGGCCTATTGTGTGATAGAAACCCGCAAACTTAAGGGAAAATTATATAGGATGGTGGTGAGACCTGCAATGCTTATTAAGTGTTGCAGATGAGGATGCTCAGGGGGTTGAGTGGTTTCCCTCTTAGAGACAGAATACGAAACAAGTATATAAGTGAAAAATGAGTAGATTCTGATAACCCGGTTAGGAGTGTAGCTGTATTAGATTTGGCCTATGTCAGGAAAGGTAGAGGTAGACCTAAAAAGACTTGGTTAGAAAATATTAAAAATGAATTTTTTTATTAGATTTAAATGAGAATTTGACTCTTAATAGGACACAATGGAGAAAAAATGATTCATATTGACGACATAATGGGAAAAAAGTTTGATATTATTGTTGTTGTAGTGTTTAAACTGGCTTTGAGTTATGACTACTGATATTTCCATGAAAAAAAGAGAGAACATCGTGCGTGTTGCAATGGTTGGAGTTCAAATTGTCAATTGGTCTATTTCTTGGTAGTCTGTTTTTTTTTTTTCTTTCCTTTTTCTCCTTTGTTATATCATGTACTGAGAAACGCAGTAAGTTTCTCTGGTAAAAAAAAAAACAAAGTAAAGAAAAAGAAAATGATTCTATTAGATGCCATGTATGTGCCTTCAGTTTATGTATAATATTTAATCATTTGCTGCAGAGCTATTTTCTTTAATAAAGATGTGCTTCTGTGCATTAAACTGATAGACTTAGTATAATTTTTGTTTCAAAAGGTCATGTCTTGTAGTTGTACCCAAATTACTTGAAAGATAAAGTAGGAAAGTTAGACTAAAACATACTATTAACTATACTGTGAACTGTTAGGAGCATAAATAGACTAAAAACACAACTCTTGGTGATGGCCGCAGCCTATATCATCATCACAATCAAGAGTTTTTCAATTTTCACTCGATACCTGTTGAAAAATTTGTGATTGCTTGCCAACTGTTTTAGTGCTTTTTTTTTTCTTTCGGTGATGTTGTCCCAAAATAAAAACTTGAAATAACCAGCATTGTAGGCATAGATCGCTAATTAAAAATGGATAGAATAGATGGATCTGAATTCAGCAAGTATTGTTGTTAGAATTCTCTTATCATGAAGAAAATAGGAAAAACTAGTGTGGGAGATTATTTGTCGTTTTTTTTCAAAGCACGTCACATAAGTTAAGTCCAAGTACTTTCTTTTAAAGCAGCTTCAAGTAATTGATGAGCACCCTTGATAGTAATACAAAAGCTTCTCAAAAAAAAAAAAAAAACTCAGTTTTACTCCGGTGCATGGATATAAACATCAAATTTCATCGTCAATATAAATCAAGAATAATAGTGAGAAATAATAGCGCATGTGCATCAAATAATACATTTGGATGCACTATGCAACAGTTGACATATTGGGAGCAAAGTTAGCAATGAGCAATATCGTGCTTGCATGAGGAGAAAATTGAAAATAGTTGTACATTGAAATATAACTATTTAATGGATAATTTAAAGCATATAAGCAATGATATAAAGTCTAATAGAGACGAGCAGATGAATTATAGGACAGGCAAAGTACTTAACTGATTACAGAAGAATTAGGAAATTTAATAGACAAAACGGTGAACTGATTAAAGAAGAGCTAGGAAACCTAACAGAATAATATATTCATAAAAAAGGCAGCTATAATTAATTTGATAGGTTCTGCGGCACTATGGGAACTAAATAGAAGAAGGCCAAGTGAGGTAGAAATCTTAAAAAAAAAAAAAGTCTAGAACTTGATTAGAAAAAATTTCTTTTGCAATTGTGTAGTGTGCTTGGGGGGCTCTTCTCTTTTCGAGCGAAGCATATGCTATTAGCACTGCGGGCTCATCAAATTAATTCTAAGTGCTTGGCTTTCCTTCTCCAGCGCCTGACTTTGACAACATTGCTTTATTTATGTACCTTTCTCCCAAAATTCTCCTTTTATATGCTAACAATTTTGATTGGTGAAGTTCATTTTGAATTTCCTCTTCTCAAAATTTTTAGATTTAAGGATTTTGAAGCTGAGGATTTGATGCCGCTTATTTATAATTTATCACAATGTCTGTTTTTCCTGTTTAAATGTCTTATTTTCTGTTTTTCTGCCTTTTTTGTCCTTGTGATTATCTTTTTTATTTATTTTGGCAATTACGATGTCTTGAAGGTTCAACACTTCAAATAGATAAAAATTTTAATCACTCTTAACCTGGTCCTTTTGCATTTTAAGATTAAATAAGTCTTTGAGCTGAAATGATGATCAAAAGAGTTTTTTTTTTAATGCCCTCGCAAGCTCGTAGATGTGGATCTGGAGATGTTAAGTTCTATGTAGTGTATTTTGGATGCCCCAATTTTAAGTCACAGAAAAGATCTTTCTACTAATATAGGGATAATGATGTGCACATCAAAACCTTTGCCTCATATTAATGAGAAATTATTCTGTGCTGAGGTTAGCTCCACATCCGTATGCGAATCAGGTGCAACCACGTCAGTGGTACCGTGCCGCAAGACGCTACAAAGGGGTGATGTGGCACATTCTGATTGGTCTCTAAATGGCATTAGGCATCCGCACTGAATAATTAATCCATATTGACAGGATTTGAATGCACTGGGTGTGCCCGTTCCCTCTATAAGCTTGTAGAAGGCTTGTTCTTTGCTTGAATTGTGAGCTCTTGGGTGGACAACATGAGGTTGCGTGGTCACTGATATATATATATATAACTTTTGATGTCTTTGTTTGTTTGAGCTTGTATAGATTTTGCGTGAGATCACTGGTGCAAGTTTGCGTATGTCTGAGCTTTGTGTGCAACCACATCAGCGTGTGCATGTTCCCAAATGAATTCTGACGTATGTATGTAAATACCTCTTTTTATTTTATTTCCTTTTGCGAGCTCACAGAATGTTGTCTGTGCAAGCTCATATTGATATGCTTTTTGCTGGTGAGCACGCTAACTCTGACATGGGCTTAACAAGCTCACATCATTTACTGTATGAACTCTTGAGATAGCTTGCATGAGAAGTGATCTGAGATGCGAGATAGGATAGAAGAGTAGGGCGTTTCTAACAGTTTATGCATCTAATTGTTTTTCCAGTGGAATGACTTTCATGAAACACGCTATGGTGACCAAAATGAAGGGTTGTAATAAAGATATACCAACGTAACCACCTCTTATGTTTTAGGGATCTAAGTTTAATTTCCCCTCTTTTTTGTTTTTGTTTTGTTTTTTTGGCAAAAGCGTTCAAGGATACTGATTGGAAATACTTGAATATTTCAATTATTCAAGTAAACCTAACAAGATTGGTAAAAACAGCGAGGAAATCTCATGAATCTAAGGGAAAAAGCAACAAAACAATAGTTTTTTATTGTGGAAATCAAACAACGGAATCAATAAAGGAAGATACAATTGATCCTCAATTCAATAGGAGGATCATTCTCTCCCAATCCCTAGATGAATCTAGGACCCAAAACGCCAAGACAAAAACTCCGGAAATCAGCCATCAAAACAAAGCATTCCCTAACACTAATCCTCCCTTCCTAATTAAAGCATGCAATTAATCAATTAAGCCCCAAAGGACAAATCTGCCCTTGCTGCCCCCTCCTTTGGCTCCAATATAATTGAATTTGAATTAGTGGGCCACATCTCCCTCTCCCTCTCTCTTGCTGCCCGCCTCCTATACACGTGAAGGAGCCGGCTGGACCGGTCCAATAGGGACCGGTCTAACAGATACATTATGTTGTAGAGAAATAAAAAGAGCATCAATGGTTTCTCTGACTCTATAAACTTTGCCTCAGTAACAGTTATTTATTAAATATGAAGGCTTGCTTCCATGTTGCTTCTCAGTTATTTGAGTTCAAGGTTGACATCTTTATTATTTATTTCTTTTTTTTTATTAAGGAAAGAAAAATTATTGTTCAAGGCTGACATCTTCAAAGCATCTTAGTTCTATCTTTTAGGTGTCTCGCTAAAATTCGCTGGCATTTTTTGCTTATCCGCTCATTTGCCTGAGGAAAGCTGCATCCAGAGTTTTGTTAACAGTTTATTTATCTCATTTTGCAGTACGTTGAATTCAACGATAATACTACCCCCTCTTCCTTCATTGGATGAGTTGAAGTTTCCACCTCTAAATTTTCGATGCCTATTTGTCTCAACATTTTTCTTGTGATAATTTATTCAATCAGGCTTTATTTAATGCTAATCTTTTTTTATTCTATGACTATCATTCTCATCATTAGTATTATTCCAACTATTTGTGATTTGCTTTATGATTCTCTTTTTGAGTACTAAATGAGCTTTTGGAAAAAGCTCTTTTGCATTATTATTGCTACGTCTCTTTTATTCTTAATTATTTATTCTTTCTGTATGCCTTATATATCCTATCAAAGGTTTGCAAAAAAATTGATGATTTTCCTGATGGTACCGATATTCTGGACCGTGTGTTTGCTGGAGTAAGCATCTATTACAACTACACGGGATCTGTTGATTGCTTTGATCTTGAAGATGATCCTCATGGAATGAGTGGGTGGGATTGGCAGGTCTGTAGCTGCAACATCAATTTATAGTAATAATATACTGCAAGTGTAGAACAGAGACAAAAAATGATCCATAAAACTGTTTTAATTTGTTTTGTTATTGAACAGGCTTGTACCGAGATGGTCATGCCCTTGTCTAGCAGGAAAGAAAGTAGCATGTTTCCCCCATACGAGTTTGATTACCCTGCCTTTGCGGATGAGTGCATTCAGAGCTATGGTGTGAGGCCAAGGCCAACATGGGTAACCACAGAATTTGGTGGCCACGTAAGTCTTAAAAATCCTGCAAGACTTATATGCTATCTAAACTCACTGCTTTCTACTTTTTTTCACCATAATTGGCTTTTGAATTTGCATCCTAGTGGCATGTAGGATATTTACGTGCAGACTTTACAGTGTCATATTTATTGTTTTCACATATTTTTACTCAGAAGTTGGTATGTGTGGAATCTGATTATGTTGATCAATCGGGTTGTTTTGTTGCCTCGGACCTCAAGTTTGTCGTGCTTGCTGGGGGTTTACCCCAAGCTTGGGTTTGGGTGGTTTGCACTCGAAAACTTCTTTTTTTTGTACAACGCCCCGACACTGAACTACTAAGAGTAGAGTGCCGCAACGCTGTGAGACGGACTGGATGCTTTTCTTTCTCGTTTTTTCTCAAGGGTAGCATCCCTTAGGGTTATTTTACTTGGCTTTCTCTTGTTTTTTTGTGTGTGAGACATTGAAAATAGTGCATGTGAGAAGAGAAGAAAGAGAGAGCGAGAGAGAAGAGAGATTTGTACTTATTTCTCCCAATTTTCATAGTGGATTTCTTAGTGTAGTGTGGCTCTGTAGTTTTTTTATTATTTTGGGTTTTTCTATATTAAATATTGGTGCCTTTATTTCTGCTGCTTTTACTTTCTTATTTGTTTCTTCATTGTGGTGTTTACTCCTCATCACCCCCCAACACAATTGAAACCTTAATGTGCTTCACTTTCCCAATATAGCACTGGGTTATTTATTGTCCAAATTCCTTTAGTGAGCATAACAACTTGCGACTGCAAGCCTTATCCTTTATTGCCATAGTTTGTTTTCACAATAGGTTGTTAATAAAATGGGAGATAAACATGCATACGACATAATTTTTTTTTATTAATATATCTAAGACCTAAAATTTAAATTTCATTAGTATCTCAATCACATAAAATATATATATATATCTCGAAAGGTATGTATAACTTAAAAAAAATTAATATTAGTGGTGTTTTTTTTTATGATTTAAAGATTTGTGTGTTATATAAATAAATATAAAAAATTAGATATTAGATATGTAAATACGTAATCATTATGTAATCTGCATGTAAATCCTACTAATCAAATATCAAAATAGGAATAGAAAATATCAAATTTTTAAGTGCAATATACGTAAATATTCCATCTTTAATACTTGATGCCTCATGCACGAGGCTCTTGCCACAGTAGGACATAGGAGTTCTATATATCCGTTCTTACCCTTCAAAGCAGAAACTTTTTTTCTGAATCTTAAATGTATTTGGCTCATTGGATGATTGTGGATGAAAAAACATAGAAAGCTATGATTTTATGTTTACTCATTTTGAGTTAGAATGAAATTCTCATTTTCTGACGAATTTTAAGGGCATTTGTAGAGTTAAAATTCATATTAAGCCAAATCCCAAATGGTAAAAATCTAAGAAATAATGTGACCTTTACATGATCTCCTGCAGGATATAAGTACAGTCCTAAAGAAATTTGGCAGTAACATCATCTTCTCAAATGGACTGCTGGATCCTTGGAGTGGTGGCGGGTAAAGCATTCTTTTATTTAAGGTTTTGTTTGGGACAGCTTTTTTATTGCTTCTTAAAGCAGCTTCTTAATACATTTTTATACTTGGAAGCTGCTTTAAGAAGCAATAAAAAAGCTGTCCCAAACAAAGCTGAGTTGCTTTGGCCTTTGATCTTAGTTGGTAGATACATTCATTATTACTTGTTTCTGATACTTGCAGTGTCCTTCAAAACATATCCCATAGCATCATTGCACTTGTTACCAAACTAGGTATGATATGCTTTCAATCTTTGATTTCTTAAAGTTTCTTGGCTAGAAAAACTGAAATGTCTTTTTCTTTCAGGTGCACATCATATTGATTTGCGTTCTTCAACTACAGATGATCCAAAATGGTTGGTTGAACTAAGGGAAACAGAGATTAAACTAATCAAAGGTTGGATAAATGACTATTATCAGGACAAGGCTTTTACAGCCTATAGTATTATTCCACTATTTATTTAAATTGTACGTAATGTTATTTGGGCTTTGTTTGGGACGACTTTTTTGCTGCTTCTTAAAGCAGCTTTTTAGTACAAAAATTAAAAATTTTGTACTAAAAAATTGCTTTAAAAAATAGTAAGAAAGCCGTCCCAACTGAAACCTGAAGCCTGACAAGTACTGTAAAGTTGTGTTTTGGGTACTGAAAAAAATAATTTCTTACCTTCTGTTCCATGCTTTTCCTTTTGATTGGGAGTTAGCCCATGCTTCTTATGTGAGTTTAATTAACAAGGATTGATATGATGTCCCTTTTAAAACATTGGGGGCATCAAAATAGTGAAAGTTTGTGTGATCATTATCTTTTATGGCTAATATTGAGATATTATGGAATCAATTGTATTAGTCTTAAGATATTCAAAGCTTATATTCTAATGATAAGATCTAAGCTCATCATAACATGCATTGATATGGTTATCATTTGCAAATATATAAGCATAACCAATATGTCCATTTAATCTGGTTTGACTAAATGACCCTAAGGTGAACATTTATGTTTGATCATTGGGCTAGGGTTGACCTAAGTGGGTCCTTGGGGTTCTTAGGTGGCTAGCTAGACTCTAGGCTTCCTAAGGGACATAATAGGCTTCCTAGGTTGCTCTAGGTTAGGTCAATTGACTCTAATTGCCTCTAGGTTTGATTAGGATGCCTAAATTGCCTTCTACGATTGATTGGATTTTACATAGGTGGACCTAGGTTGGCCCTTATGATTCCCGAGTGAATAAGTTGGATCTAGGGCTCATGGCAACGCAGAATTATTCTGTGTGGTCACCAGAAGCTATTTAGGGGTAATTTGGATGTGACACATTTCTATTTGATGTGTACTGGGATGACGTGACTCATGCTGATTTGCCTCTGGATAGTCTGGTGACCAAATAGAATAATTTCTCCATAGAAATAGGGGTAGTCATCCTCACCCTAGTCTCTCTTATGTTAAGGCTATGTAGACTAGTATGCTAGGTCAACCCATTGGGTTAGAACTACTCTTTCGAATTGACCTTGGGATTGGTTATTGGAGATCTCTAAGCTTTTGATCTAATCTTCCTCGAGTTCGCCACTACCCACTTTCTAAGAACCAAGTCTAGGGTGCGACCATGCCAGCACCTGTGCACCGGATCCCATCAGAACTCCGCAGTTAAGCGTGCTTGGGCGAGAGTAGTACTAGGATGAGTGACCTCCTTGAAAGTTCTCGTGTTGCACCTTTTATAAAATAATAATAATAATAAAAAAGAACCAAGTCCAACTTAAGATATTTATTGACAAGGTGAAATGTTATGTTGTTCAATTTTAAATCTAGAAAAATTTTGATGTTGACATTAAGAGATAGAAAGAGAGTTTAGTGACAAAAATAATACGGGGGGTCAAATTAGAATTTAGACGTTGGTTCAATATAGTTGTTATTGGCATGGAAAGAGAAGTGAATATAGCAGCAGAAGAAAATTTGTGAAAGGTGAAGTTACAAAAGGAACAAATATTAGATCCTCTATTTACTCGTGAGTGCCATTAGTTCTTATAATTTTTTCCTTTCTACTTTCATGTGATGGGCAAATTATTAGGTCCGGTCACATGACCTAAAAATAGGTCCGAACATCCAATGAAAACTTGCCACGTCGCCTGCGCTTTGACTGTACTTTAACTGTACTTTAGGTGTGCTTTGACAGCGCTTTTTTGACTGCGCTTTGATTGCGTTTTACCTGCACTTTACATGCGCTTTACCTGCATTTTTGATGCGCTTAATTTAAAATAATATTTTATTAGTGTCTGGACGTATCTTTACGTCCAATGACCGGATCTAATAATTTGCCCATGTGATGTGGGTGATGGAAAGTGTGAAAAGGAAAATATTTGTTATCCTCCTTCACTATAGGAGAATAACAATTCATGAAGTCTACATTATTAATTTTTTACTTTATAAAAAAAATAAATAAATATACGTGTTAATTTGTGAAGATCATTAATGTTATAAGATGACGGAATTATTAAGCAGCTCATTTTGACTTGTAGGTTGAATGTTTAGATTGTTAGTAAAAAAGTTTTGAATTTGAAGCTTAAAAGAATACGTGTGGGAATATTTAGGAGACATGGCAATGAAGAAATCATGAGGAGATTTTGTGTCATTGTCCACTAACTTACAATAAAAAGGTACATATAAGTTCATGTTCATATATTAGTTTTTTCTTTTGTTTTTGGAAATTTTTTTGTTTCACGCAGCTCATCTTAGGCTTTGTTTGGAACAACTTTTTTGCTTCTTTTTAAAATAGCTTTTAATTTAAAAAAATTAAATTAAAAATATTTGTAATAAAAAAACCGTTTTAGAAAGCAATAAGAATTTTTTTCTTCAAACGAAGTCTTATGCTTCGTTTGGGGTTGTTTGGGATGGCTTTCTTTCTGCTTCAAGCTGCTTTAAGAAGTAGAATTAAAGTCATCTCAAATGAACCTTAATCTATTAGTTGCGAATTTTGACTATAAAAAAAAACGGTATTAAATTTACGTTTTATGTATGTGATGTGTAATTGATCTAAATGTTAAAAAGAAAATTGTTCAGATGTTGGTTGGAGGGGCTTTTTGTTTTTGTACTTTGCTCCTATCACCCTTCTTTAAAAGTAAAAGAAAGAGAAGTGGGTGGAAAATATTAATTTAATAGCAATCATTTAGTGAGAGGAGAGGGAGCTTCCATATATTCTCATGAGAAATTTAATTTCCATATTTTTTTTTTTTTTTTTTTTTTTGGACATTTAGGCTATTTAAGGCAAATTTATACACACAACGCATACACAGACTCAAATCCTGAACCTCTTAGTTGGAAGTCTAAGCTCTCAACCAATAGGCCAATGAGAGTTGTGTGCTTCCATATATTCTCATGAGAAATTTAATGAAAATATTGAATATGGAATAATTTACTCTACTTCATTCTTCTTAAAGATCCATGTTTCTTGGCCTACATAGTGGAAAATTATTACATCCGGTGTACGGATTCGTCCGGGCACCAATTCAGACGTGGCACGTCACCCAAATACACTGGGGCCTAGTGTATTCAGGTGACGTGGGGCGTTCGGATTGGATGTCCGGATGTCTGATGACCGGATTTAATAATTCGCCCTACATAGCATGGACATGGAGGCTTAGGACAACCATAATTTTTCATTTTAGCTTTGAAGTTAAAAGTATTTTGCATTGATGTATTTATTATACTCAGATTTCGATTTAAACTAACAAGATTATCTGGAGACGATCAATTGCCTGCGATCAAAACCGCGTGTTCTCTTCTGAACCGCTTAGCGAGTACGATCCTTCGGCAACATTTACGGCCTCGTGTTCTTCCTCAGAAGATTAAATGTATATATATTTCTTTTTTATTGATCATTTTGCTGTGCGGCTGCGGAAAGTGGATTGGTTAAATCAAAATTTTAATTTCCCCTAAAAAGAGAGAGATGGATTTATGCATTAAATAGTGTTTATTTTCTTAGGGGTTAGGGGCAATCTTGAATTCTGACTGGAATTTGAGATCTCTTGGGTTTTCTTTGGGGCTCTTGCGTGTCTAGAGATTGGGAGAGATCGATCCTCCTCTCGATAAGGATCTTGTATCTTGGTATTTTCCGTTTCTTTCATCAAATAAATACAATTATTACTGTTTTCTATGGTTTTGTGTGGACTTTTTTGGGAGAAATCTCATTGTTTTTCGAAGATTGATAGAAATACTTGAGATCTACAAGTGTTTCCTATCACGTTTCCTATCAACTTGCTGAAACCAAATTATTCTCTTGTTTTTAATGATATTATTATTTTTTAGCTGTTGTTTTTTTTGTTTCATTCGTCCTGTTCATCCCTTTTCTCCAACACCAAGCAATTTCTGGACATTTATAGGCACCTTTTTCATAATTTTGTAATAAACTCATTAATGCTTTCTTCTTTGTGTTCCGAAACTAGTGTTAAAAACTGTTAATTGCTTGTCGAAGTCAGTGTTTGGCTGCATGATTGAGGCTTAAATACATCACGCATATTGCTATCGTGCACTCGCTTCTTCAGCACCCATTCTGCAAATTTTTGAAAAATATCAGCCACGGAGTCTCATTTCTATGACATTGTTTGCCAGTGATTCAAAGGTTTGAACATTCATAAACACCTACACATGCTATAATTATATTAGTATGTTTGATACGTTACTTATGCAAATCTGCTATGTTTCAGCGTTGAAAGTATGAAATTGCTTTGATTGTTATTAAAACTCTTGGGATGTTGTTGAAGCTCAAGGGAAATATGGTTTGGCCTTAATCAGTCTATCAGTGGAAAATTTAGGCTATGCAAGTAAGGTCTTTTCGTTTCGTTCAAACATATTCCTCTTTTCACCTGTTTTGTCTACTTTTTCTGTTGAATGCCAGGGATTTAACAACACCGAACAACTTTCAGACTGGTTAGACTCTGCATATTAGCTATCTTGCGATGGTCGGAATTTCCATACGCCTCAGCTTTCTTATGCCTTTGCCAGCCCAACCCATTAAAGAAACAGGTTGATTTTCTTGTAATTTAACGATTTACTGCTTAGTGTTTTTACCTGGGATTTCATGCCGTGATAGTCTATCATGAAAAAAGCTATTCATTTTATTAAGAAGTTTGATGGAAGAAAAAGCATAAAAAATAAGGAGGATCTACCTATGATATTTAATTGATTTCAAAGAAAGCTTATGATAAAGTTCCAAGAGGAAGTGTTTTGGCAGAGTTCATGAATAGGAAAGATGGTTAATAATGCTTTTTATTCAAGTTATTAAGTGATATGTAAATGCAGGGGCTAATAACTTGTGTTCAAAACACAAAGCGGTGGTTTGACCTAGTACATTTTCCTATTCAGTTAGATTAGATCAGAATTGCTTAAGCCCAATATCTTCTGCTTTAGTTTTGCGATGTTCTTATTAAGATATTTGCAAGAGCTATCGTACCTTGTGTGTATGCTTTTTTAACTGATGATATTCTTTCTTGGTTGATAAGCACTAGAATAAGGCTAGAGAAGGGGTTGAAGTAATTGAATTATCGGAGGTCCACTTATATGTCTAAGAGATTTTCGTTTTTAGTGGATCTAAAACCAAATACATGGAGTGTTTTTTTATAGTAGATAGATCTAGTAGGGGGGGATTTTCGACATTGGATGATCAGTCATTAATAAGAAGTTAAATTAGAAATCTGGTCTATGTTTCAAAGGATGGTGAAATAGATGGGTATTATTAGTCAGAAATTCAGTGGATCGGTTGAACTGGAGGAATGCATTGGGTCCTATTGTGTGATAGAACTCCGCACTTAAGGGAAAATTCTATAGGATGGTG